GAAGGTAGACCCTCCCGTTTCCCATCCCAGTCTGAAGAAATGGAATGATCCAAGATATATGGATCCTCTGTCTAAAACGGGCTCTCCTGTTCCATGACGTGAGAGGAGATACTTCCGTGGCACGTACAATGAACTCTCAGGCTACAGCCACCCATGAATAGAGAAGTGCAAATAAATTCCTTTCTATAAAGGAGTCACCTCTTACTCCTGTTCCCAAGGAATGAACACTTCCAAGAAAGCCTCTTTCTTACAAAGGAATTTCTCATGAACTTCACCCAAAAGAATGGATGTTTCCGGCGTTTCCCCCTCTTCCCCAAACAGACTGGGAAGCTGGGGCAGAGGGAAGGCCGAAGCGAGCAGTGGGGGTACCTCCCATAGGTCCTTCCAATTTGACCACCTTCCAGAATAGACCATCCTTTCTCCAACCTTGTCCGCAGGGCTGGGCTGTTATAGTATACGCGGACCCCTTCCCCCAATGAACTTGCCCCATCCTGTTGCCCCAGCGAAGGAGTGAATTCTTCCATGCGAGCTCTTCTCCAGATGGTCTTACCCTCTCACGCATACACACAGCTAAGCCGCCTAATCCAATTGGATCCCTCTGACACTAACAGCGGGAGTGTTCAGTGAGCCCCACCACCGTGTAGAGTGGGCTTTCCCATCGACTCCAACGGCATCTGTCGAGGCTGGCTGTACCACTGTTACTCAAAGGCGGACAACACCATAAAGAGAAGTCTTATAATCGCTGCACGAATGGAATGTATTTCCGAGAACACGTTACATTTCCGTGAATGAAATAAATCCCCAGTGGCCCCCAACTGCTAACTTTTTCTCCCTCTCTGCTCCCTAACACTCAAACAAGTTCAATCGCCACTCAAAGATGTCAGCTAGAAGTATCAGCATCACCTGCCCCCAACAGCAGTGATCAAATAGTTCCAGTGTCAACCATCGCCTTTACAAAATGGATTAGTTCACTCCTCCCCAGAAAATGTAGGCTTACCCAGACAATTCCAGGCATCAATCAAGTTATCAATCTCCAACCCGCAGAAGATGGACCCTTCCATTACTCCCCCTCAAGAAATAGACGCTTTTAAGGCCATCTCCTTTCTACAATAAGCTCTCTCACTCTCCCCTGAGGAAGTCAGCGCTGACCCCGACTTCGTCCCACCAGTGAAATCTTTCTCAGCTATCTATCCTCCATCACCCCTACCCTCCTCTTTGATAATGACAGCTCCTATCCGGCTGAGACCACGGCTTGCAGCATGCCTGAGACTACCACCGCCCGAAGAGTTCTGGGAGTTGTAGTTTTGTCGCCCTTTAACCGAAGGGTGGGGCATAGGACTCTCTTACCTGGGCATCCTGGTAGCCCTGAAGCAGCAGGAAGTAGGGGCGGTTGCTGGGGGCCTGAATGAGGCACTGGGTCAACTGATCGAAGTCGCCGGGGTCTGCAGGTCCGATTGGGGCGTCGGCTGCCCCTGGGGCCATGCTAAGCGCCTGCTGCCTGCGCTCCTGCTGCCGCCGCCGCCGCCCCTGCAGGCTGAGCTCCGACACACTGCGCCGCAGGGACAAGTTTTCCGAGCGCTCCTTGCCCCCCGACCCAGTCGAGGGCCCTGACCCCGACCCCGGGCCAGGGCTGGCCAGCGCCGCCCCACCGGACGCCGCTCGCGAGCGGTTCTTCTGTGGCCGCCACAAGGTGGGGCCCGAGCCTGCGGAGAGAGATGGAGAGCGATGAGGCCGAGACCGCAGAGAGACATGGGGAGGGACAGACTCAGAGAGTTGGGGGTTTTCAAGAGACAATGAATCGGCCACGGAGAGGCGAGGCTGCTTCTCACGCTTAGGTTTTTGCATATATTGTGCCCTGTGCCTGGAACACGCTTTCCGCCCCGACTCCTACCCGTCTTCCTCAGAAATTCATTCATTCTTTCAACTACTATTTTTTGAGCACCTACTATGTGCCAGGCACTGTTCAAGGCACTAGAGACTTCGCAGTGAACAGAGAAGACCCTGCCCCCAGGGAAGTTGAAACCACCCCCAGAGAATGGCACCACTGGGCGCTCTGGGCTTTGTCTGGCCCAGCACAGCCCTTGAACACAGTAGGTGCCTAGTGGAAATGAGCCCAAGGAGTGAACTGGTGTGTTTCTCACTAAGCTGTGAAACCTAGGAGGGAGGACCTTCACCTGTTAATGTCCCCACTGTATTCCCCCAGGGCCCTAAATAACGTGTGGCCCGAGTAGTCGCCATTGAATGCTTTTAGAAGGAGAGGAAGAAAAAAAAGATGATGATGGTTATTTTTGTCATTCTTTATTAAGCAACTACTACGTGGAATCCCAGCCCGAGTTCAAAGCCACACCACTCCGTCTCCCAAAGGGAAACTCGGAAACAGAAAGGCGGTTAAAGGGCTCCCGGAGCAGCCCCCGGTCCTGTGAGCCAGGCCCCACCCAGGCTTGCTATATCACCTCCTGTTGAAGGTGCGGTCTTCTCAAAGACCAGGCCAACAGGTAAGCGTTATCTTCTCTGGCCTCTACAAAGAGCCTCTTTATTTCCCAGACGCCACCCTCAAGCACCGTCCCTCACACTTCGCAGCCAGCTGGGCTTAAGGCCACCAGCCCCAAGACCCGCCCCTCTCGGGCTCCGCCCATTCTTCGGCTTTGACCTAGCGGCTTAATTCTCCGCTCTCCAGGCCCCTCCCCGTTCTTTTCTTCACCCGCAGAACTCCGCCCCTTACGGACAACTTTAACCTATTGCTCTGAGAGACCTTCTGCCACGGGGACTCCCGCCACCATTCGGCCGCCCGGCCCGACACCTCTCGCTCCAGGCTACTCTATTCTGCAGGCCCCGCCCCAGCTCATTAGGTCCCGCCCATCGGCTCTGCACGTACCCCAGGGGGCATCGTCCTCAGGCCCAGCCCATCGGATTGACCAAGGTCCGGCCCTAGCTCCGCCCCCCACTTGA